AACACTTTTTAACCAGATTACATACCGATAGCATCAATTTCATCCATAAAGATAATACAAGGTTCATGATCCCTGGCATAACCTGAAAATCAAGACAATCTGGTTAAAACTCAAAGCCCTTAGGATGCTGAGTAGTGGCTGTATTATTTACACTGACAACAAAAACAGCATCGTAAGAAGACTAAGTATGCTCAGTTAGCCCAATGGATAGTGTGCTGGACTGTTGTGCGGGAGGTCGCACCAACACTCAAGGTCTTAAAATAATTGAGAAGAATTTGCTACCTTTCTATAATATCTGGAAATGGTTAGATGTTCTAGTCTTCCCGTATAGGGACGAATAAATGGAGGTCCTGTCTCCTGCAGGGTTGGGGGTAGGAGATGTTAATTTCCCACGCACGAGATTACTTTGTGATGGATGTCCTCCCCAGGATGGGATGGTGGGTACAAAGGGGTTAGGTGTCAATTGGGACGAAAGCTCTGTTCCTTTCTCCTGCCACTCCCGTGACTAATGGATTAAACTAAACTAAACTAAACAGATACAGTACTGCTTTAAATAATAATTATATTGAAAAGGTCTTAACGTTAAAGCAGAACTTAATATGCTGAGGAAGACTCTGACTTGAGGTCAAAAGCTTTCTTTCTTTAATTTTGGACCATGTACCTAGAGTTGATATGATCATAATATATGAACCTAGAAATAATCTATTGTGAATGGTAATGTAAGACCACAACTACAAACTAGAGGAGCATTCACTGATCAAGAATTCAGTGATAAAGCTGATGGTCCACTTAAAAGGAAAATAAACTTTCAACAAAGGTTGTTCATTTAATCAAAATTTCCACCAAAAAATGATGACCGAACACTTTAATTCGCAAGGAAGATCCCCATCTAATTTCTTATCACAATATCAACATATGAGTAAAGGTCACAACAATGAAGGAACTAGTCCCAAAAGAGGAAATACCCTATCTTCAACAAATTCTTACAATAATCATTACAAGAGTAGCAAGGAAAATCTATGTGCTGACAATTATGATTAATGAGTTAAATAAGACAAACAGACCAAACATCTCTCTTATGAGCCTTGCACTTTCTCCAATGTATTTGTCAACAATTGCACTGGACACAACCTTTACAAAAATAAAATGCAATTAGGAATGGTGTAAAAAAAGAAGACATCACTCAAAGAAGTCACAACACAACCAGCCTCTCTTAAATCATTCCCAGAATGCAAGCTCAATACAAATAAACATTTCCTCAAACCATATTTTGCTAAACATTGATACTGATGTTAAAAGCCTTCTATTGTTCCTTTCTTCTCTAAACAAGTCTTTTTTAACTAAAAGGCTACAGAATAGTTACCTTGAGAAAGTTTGCATCCAACTGGCTGGCCACAGCTCTTGCAAGGAGTGTCTTTCCAGTTCCTAGAGAAGAATTCACAAGAGATATCAGATGTTAAAGGGTCATGATGATTAAGGAACTGGTATAATCTATATGTTGAGTGTGGGGCTTAAAGGGTAATGAAAGACAAGACCTTTAACATAAACAGATATCTGTACTGCAGGTGACACGAGCTGTTTGTTGGAAGAATATTGATCAAAAACAAAAGAAAACGACATGATGTACCTCCTGTAGCAATATTCTTCGAATCAGGAAAAATATGTAAAGCCATGAAGGAAGTAACATCATTTAGAATTAGATCTTTCAAATCAATACTCCTATACAATTCACTTTGTTGGAAAAAACTGTGGTACCTGGAGGACCAAACAGAAGGCATCCTTTAGGTGGACTGATTCCAACTCGCTGAAACAATTCTGGGTTTGTCAAGGGAAGTTCTATAACCTGTGGTAAAATTGTACAGATAAGAAAATTGCAAAAGAGAAATTCTTCCTTCAACTGAAATCAAGGTTAATTTAACAACAGATTTATAACAATATGCCTTCTACACACAATGAACAGTACAAACCTCTCTCAGTTCCCTGATCTGTTCACTGAGTCCTCCAACCTCCGAGTAAGAAATGTTTCCGGGATCTTCATGGGACATGTTGTAAACAAGTGGATCGACTTCTCTGGGAAGATGTCTGAAAAATTGCAATGAAATAAGACAGGTTACTGACTCGTGACTGTAAGGTTTCTGACTACACCTGAGCATGAGAAGATACTTTGATTTGAGTTATCACATTTCACTGGAAACCACATGTACTGTATGATTTCTGTATGTGAGTTTTAAATGCATTTCTTCATCTTTTTGTCTCCAATAACATCCTTATGTGATAAAAGCCTTTAATGAAACTCATGACTAACTGCATTTCTAGTAATCTTGATAACAACAATAAAAAGTCTTTGACTGATCATCCCTCTAAAGTGCAAAATTTTGAAAGATAAAATGGCCATGTCAGGTGGTTGATGCCTTAGATCTGGATGAGACAAGGAAACATAGAATTCCCACAAACTTAACCCTTTAACCCTCAAGCCTCTAGTTGCTACTACTTCCTTAAAAGTAAGATAACAAAATTTGATGTACGATTAAAATATCAACTTCTACCTGATAAGTTTGAGTATTCTCATTACCTGTGTGCTAGATAATGTTTGGATATTGTAAGGAGAAGTTGAATGTTAATCACAGTACCTCATGATGGTGAGAGTTGTCATGTCCAGAGCAACTCTTGTACCTTGCTTCAGCTTCTTTTTGTCCACCTATCAAGTAAAAAGGCCACAACTTTTGCTCTTGCTCAAAGTCTGACAAACAGGTTCTTGAAGATATTTCAGGATAACAAAACTATTAGCATCCCACAAACCTGCCTCCGACAACCCACGACATAACGAGGACCATTAGTTGCTTTCACAATAACTAAGGAACAAAGACACAAAGAAAAAAAAAATCAAATTTGTGTTCTTCTCGTTAAGAGTAATGAACTAGAACCTGGGAGCATTGACTGTGAAGTGTGACATCTGGGTAAAGAAGGTCCTAAAAATACTGTATGTCGTATGTCAGTAACTAACAGTGCTTTTAACAAGCACCGACGGCCAACAAAAAGCGTCGTCTACTTCGTTCAGAGAATTCAGCTACACTTTCCCTAAATTTAAATAAATAAATAAAGATTCTTTGAAAACTAAATTAAAATTCATTTTCATGGGCTTGTATGAACTTTTTACCTCAGTTTCAAAATTAAATAATTATCAAAAGATAGGATGCGACTCGTTAGTCACGGCACTCAACACGTTTTGGGGTGGTGTTAGGATGCAAGAGGCTTACGAAAAATTTAACTGCGTGCAAAGTATATAATCTAATTACCATCATTTGTTTATTGTGATCAGGAGTTCATATTTGTGGCCTGATAAATCGAACCTTGAATGAAAGCTGCATTTTCTTGAATGACAACCACATTCGCATGTGTCATGGTATTACAAAAAGAACAGAACAAAAACAAATCGGACACTCATTTAAGCATTTTAACTCGCATTTGAAGTCTGAGTTAAAAGCTGCAGCTAATTGATCTTATCACTGTTTCTGGTGCCTGTCTGGCAGGTGTCCTGGTGGGTAGGCAGAGAAGCTTGGAATATTTCCCACCCTCAAACTGTTTGTGGGTTTGCAGGAAAAAAAACAAAGACAAATGGATGAAAAACGCAACTGTGTGCTTTCTTATGGGTAGTAAGTGATTCTGTTTAGCTCCATTGTTTTTAGCTTATTAGTATTGTAAAATAAAAAATAAATGTTGCTGTTGATAGGGAGTTTTCCTTTATCTTTTGCACTCAATTTGGTCTCCAGAACTCCAGAAATGGCATTTCAGAGCTTCCAGATGTCAAAATTTTCTGGGGGGCAAGCCCCCAGACCCCCCTTGATTAAGGGGCCTGACCGCCCCTTGTTGGTAAGGTTGGTTACTCTCACTAACCAGCTGCCTACTTGAAATTTTATTGAAACCCCTGAACTAATATTTTGTCAAGCTGAGCAAAGGTCATCATCAGAATCACTTCAATATTCTAACTTCCACCCAATAAGTTGTTTAAATGTCACTAACTTTATAATATTCCCTTAAATACTAGCCTCACTTTGACAATCAAACAAGTTTCCATACTGCCTGATACCCACGAGTAAAATGAAGGTTACAAGTTATATCTCTTTTGGTTCAATTTAATCCAGGATTCAAATTTTGTTCTTCCTCTGTAATCACAACAATTTAAATCAAGGAAAAAAATTAAAGAACAGCAGTTTTAGGGCAAGGAAATATATGCAAATTTTGTACACTGAATGTTAACAAAGCACAAGTTAACATTCTCAACTGATTGTGATCCCTATGTTTGTATCAAACTTACATTTTTCTTCAGTAAGCTGTCGCAGAACTTCCCCAACAATCTGATTGATAAAAATTAAAAGTTAGAAAAAAATATACAAATAAATAGCCAGTAAGTTATTATAACAAAACAAGGACAAAAATCGTCGAGTAAGTTGAGAATCATACCTGACCAACACTTTGTAGAGCCTTTAAATCATTTTCAGATTTGTCATACTCCTTACTTAAGTCTTTCAGTTGTTCTCTCACTTAAACGAGAAAAAAATTATGGTTAGTTATGTTGCAAAAGAATTTTAAGAGCGGTAAGGATCACGTTCCTCAACCATCATAATTATCCTAAAAGGGGCATCATGGATGCCTAACAGCAGAAAAGTGTTGGAAAAGAAATGTATAATTTTAATTGTTTGTTATTTTCGGCTACTGCATCGCAGCATGACCAAATTCGCCAAAAATGAAATCGTAAATTTTGATTCAGACGTATTTAGGATGAAATTTTCCTTGAAACTTACTATATTTAAATATAGCATACATACTTTCTTTTAGTCGGGCATCAAGCTCTCTGTGTTCTAACAGTTTCTTCCTGTAGTTGACTAACGCTTTCTCTCTGGCGGTCTCAGTGGTCGCCATCTTTGTTCGTGACTTAGCAGTATCCCACGAGTCAAAGCGGCTTAATTTTGTGGCGGAGAACCGCTGATTAGCCAGCGGAAACGAAGTTGTATTTGAAGGAAACATTTTCCATGGCGATGAATTTAAATGAGATCTTTAGGGGCGTGAGGGTATATTACCGGTGCGCAATTACTCTTGAGCTAATAGATCGACTTGCACAGCGTGGGTGATACTGAAAATGGCACCTATTTCGACCAGTGGCAATGACGAAGGATTCTGGGGCGAAGCAACATCTACCATCGATTGGTGCGAGGAAAACTACGTTGTGACATCATACCTAGCAGAGTTCTGTAAGTGCAATTTAGCATTCATAACGCGCAGCTGTTGATCTGGGGTTGTAGCCGCTTACCAGCGATTAAGACGGTTTGCACCACATTGTTTCAAAATAAAAATACCCTCAAAGCATTGTGTTGCTTTTTAGCTGGACATAATCTGCTAGCGTTGTTTACATCTTACACGTGTTCGATCGCACGGTGTTAAGCACCCAAAATAGTTACGTTCCGATCAGAGGGATTTTTGGTTGTTTTGAAAAAGGTGGTATTATACTACACGCTACCTTATTTTTTTGAAAAATTCTACTTCATTATGAAAGAATCCTCGAAATCCGACATTTTAAGTGGAAAAGGTGATCAAGTATTGATAGATGAACCATGGCCAGAGGTGTTAAGCTGTGAAGTTGAATATCGTAGAAAAGTACTAAATTTCATTGTTTCACACAGCGTCCGGATGTTGTTTTCTATTAACTCCCACTTGAAAGCTGTCGTAGCTTATGTAACAATATAATTTAGTCTTGCTTCCAAACCGAATATCATTTTTCTTTCATTCTTTGTTTTGGTAATCTTTGATTAGGGTCCTAACGTACTGGCCTTAAGTAGAGATTGAAATTATTCAAATTTTCCTCAGCAATAGCTGTTCCGTTATATTGATTTTGTAACTGATATGTACCTTAGGACAACTAATCCCAATTGAAAACAAAAACAAAAACAAAACGAAACAAAATAATAACCACGCAGGCGGCTTGGGTTGTTTTGTACTCTTCTCCCTTGTCAGGTATAATGTGTCATGCAGTATTCACTTAATAACTTTTTGTTCTTTTTTTGTCTTGTCTAGGGAACACAATAAGCAATTGGGCTTTTTTAATTCCACCTTTCTTTGGAGCAGTTTTAACATGGGAATATAAAATAGAGAGACGCTACACTTTGGCGTTTGTATCATTGTTAGGTAATCTTTGTGGGATTAAGCTCAAATTTTTCTTAATTAACTCTATCCTGTTATGAAGGAGTAGGCTCAAGATGAGGCCTTTAACCTTTTTTTTTTCTTTTTAATATCAAAATATGATCATGACTGTATCCATTCCATTAATTCCCCTGATATCTGAAATGTTACGGTTTCAAGGACTTCTTTGGTAACACTGAAAATGTGGCCCTGACGAGAGGGCAAAATATAAAGAGACTTACTTCTTAGGAACTTGAGGGAATAAACCAGATCACTTCTTATTGTTTTGTCCTGCACTTTGCCCTCATTTGCACACACCTGAAATCCAAGGTCTATTGAAAGGTTGGGAGCTCTTAAATTAAAATTCAGAATTTCAGCTGGCCTCAAGACAATTAACTTGCTCATAATTTTAATTTAGATATGTACAGAGATAGAAAACAAACAAAAATTTTAGACTTGTCTTTGAAATTAAAATCAGTGACCGCCATATGGTCAGGTGACAGTATATTGCTGAGAGGTTGGCTTTAATTGATGATTTGGCTTTATGTTCAGCTAAAGGCTGTTTGTTGTTGAGCCAGCTGTGCAATCAATAATGGAAAAATACACTAACTGATAATTAACTTAGAACTCATGTCTCCTAGCAAAGTGTGTTTAAAAGGCTATGGGCATAGCCACCTTTATGTCAAATTTTGTGACATTTCTTATTTTGCATGATATTTGTTCTTGTAAGTTTTTTCAAAATGTTTCCCCAGGAGGTTTTTTCTTTAACTAAACTAATTAGTTCATTTGAGAAACATTTACTAGGTTATATGACTCAACTTTCCTTTGGCCACCTTTTTATTAAGAGTTATTTTGTTAAATGACAAACAAAAGAAACTTGAACTTTTGCCCACCATATGTTCCCTGTGTGATACATCATCTCTCAAAAATAATGTGACCAACTGCAAAGAAACCACAATGGAGAGCATTATTATTTGAAATATATTTTCCAGTTAGATTTAAAACAGAGAATGTGACAAAAATTTATTTCTTGAAATCTCTTGAGTTTTGTATTGGTCGATCATGGTCATGGTGGGCTCTTCCATTGGATATTATTGCTTTTGAATTAGGTGGCATGTGATGGCTTACCAACATTGCATCTGCTAAACAGTTATTCCCTTAGCTACATTTTTGTAGAGATATTTTAAGTCACTTTTTGTGAAGAATTGTTCATCATAATCATTGATTATAAAATGTTTATTTCAGTTGTAGGAATAGGGTCATTATGTTTTCATGCCACTCTGTTGTATGAAATGCAGGTAAGATTCTGCTGACTAATCAACATCTTACTAGTTGATTGAACCAGTTATTATTTATCTATTCAGTTAGTGCTGCTCCCACACAGGTTTTTATAGTGTGAGCTTTCTCTGAATATGAAAAGGAAGACAACCAATGAGTTGTTAAACACCAAGATAGCTGCAAACATGGGCTCATACCCAACAAGCATAAGAAAATAAAAATTATTTATTAATTGACAAATTAAAACAAAGTTGAAAAATGGTTTTGAACAATTGCATTAATTAACCACAATAGGAGGTCATGATTCTTAAGGAAATCCCATTGTATTAATAATTATTATCCAGTAATCTATATTTTGTTATCTTGACAGCTACTCGATGAGCTTCCAATGATTTATGGAACTTGCGTGTTGATATTCTGCATGTAAGTAATATATTTTACTTCTGAATAATGTTTTTCTAATGCTCACCTGGTTATTTTGTTTCGAATGTGTGCTTCAAATTCTCTGGCAATTTAAATCCATACCTGTCCTCTTGAGGGTTCTATCAACCATATAATCCTCATTACCTTTTTTTAATTTCTTGCACCGCGAAATTAAAAGTTGAATTAGGGCTGAAATCTCAAGTTCTCTTGAATTAATCATTAATTTAAATTATAATATTAACTTTGATTCAGAACATTGTCAAAGAAGTAACAAAATGTTATGTAATTCATGTTTATTGAAAAAAGAATTTAAAAAAAATGCTGAGTAACCTTTAAAGACTTCACATTATCAATAATTTTTAATTCTTTCTTCTTACCTTAGTTGTCATTGTTCTCACCGTCCAAGGGACCACAACCAAACTCTCACTTTATGTCTTATTGTCTGTTGTGCCATGATCACTCTGGTAAGATGTTACCATTAAGCTTTGTGAGCCTAGCTGAAAGTTGAGACAACATTATATTTAACAATGCAAGGGGAAGGCAAAACAGTAAAAAGAAGTGTTTATGTCAGAAAACATTCTTTCCCCACTTGTAGCTTTTTTTTTTGGTTATATCGAGTCCTTTCCTCTCTCCTCTCTCCAAACTGCATCTATTGAAACTTCTTATTTTGTTATTACATCCTTTTGTGAGTTGAGTTCTTTACAAATTAACCCTTCCTCCTTTCTCTGAACTCTCCAGCGACCCATTTTCATAACAGGTATAGAGCACATAGTTTGGAAATGCAAATTGATGTAATTATAATCATACCAAGCCATTTAAAAGCTTTAAATTAAAGTGACATGATTTATAAGACTAATTTCAAAAATTGACCTTGTATTAAAGATTTTTATATACTGCTAGTAATATGTTAAATATAAGCAAAATGTCAGAGCAAATCTGGTACAAGCTAAGCAAAATGATGGACTTCAATTATGGAATTTTTAAATCTCAATATAATAAAGAGAGAACTTAACAATTGAGCTAAACCTTGGATCATTATACTTTTGTCTCCAGGTCTACTTGACTGTGGTAAACCCTCTAATATTTCAGGTACAGTATGTGTTCTATGACATTGAGCTGTACAAAAACTTCTCCAGATAGATTCAAATTAATGTCTATGAACTTGTGTAGAGTTGATTTATATTAATTAATTGATAATCAAGCATAACTTAGAAAACTCTTGAAAAATTACATTTCAAAAGTGTTAGTGTGTTTTTCATTTTCTTCCTAGTGGGCCTATGGTATTCTGGTTGCTACGCTTGTTGTCAAAACTAGTATGGCTTTTAGGTAAGTCAGTTAATGTGTCATATAATTTTATTTTGGGATCTACATTATTAGCTCTTCACACCTCATCATCCCTTCACACCTTATCATCAGTATGTACATTCTCCATACTTTTCTCTATATTTCTTAAGGTGCTGACAAGGAGAATTTGTTTAACAATCAAGAACTTTGTTAGTTAAAGATGATTTGCTTTAACTTCTGACCTTAATGGTTTATTCAGGGGTGATGTTAAAGGTAGAAATTAGAGCTGAGCAAAGAGTTTCCAGCAATCTGATTGGTCGAGCGGTTCCATATATGACGCTATATAAACCGCTCCACGCGGCTTATATAAAATGTTACTAATGTGTTATGATTTTAGAGATTTCTCTGTTGATCGGTTCTGAAATTATACTAAAACAATTCTTCGCCTCAGGTTCGGTGAATATTGTCGAATAATGCCCTCAACTTCGTCTCAGGGATTATTCAATGATATTCACCTCGCCTTCGGCGAATAATTGTTAAATGCAGTCGAGTGTTGATTGCTGGTATCGATCAACACTCAACTGCAGGTGCCGTTAGTACACATGATCTGTCACTCCTAAGGGTTACAATTAGGCTGTGGTTTTTTTAAATGGTTTTTTTAAATTTATTATTAAATTTTAATGCGCTATATAAGAACTTATTATTAAATTGAATTATGAGATGGTGAGTATATTGGTGTTGGCAGACTGAATTAATTTACAAAATGCAAGGGTATAACTTAATAAGTGATGAGGTACATAGCATTCCATTCAGAATAGGCAGTGTGTAGTTTCTTCTGTTATGGGACGAAACATGTGCAACAAGGTTGGAATATGCCTGGTCATTGCTTGTCTTGTCCAACATACAAATCAGAGGATTAGGAATGGAGCAGAGTTATTCTCAAAGCTCTCTGGGTTTCTTTCCTCTACCAAATTCAATTCTGCAAACTTTAACCTGACTTGAAAGCAGTGAATAGTGGGTTGTCATCTCCTCATTGTCCAATTTTCATCACCCTGATCTCTCCTGTACATTTTTAGAAGGGTTAGAATTTCATTACCTTTACTTTTCAATTTCAGTTCCAGTGCTATGCATTACTACATCTTTTTAAAATTAAATAGAAATTGCAGGAGCTGTGCATTGCTAGTCTTGTGTAGTCATACAAGTCATGTATAACTATAACTTTGTTTTGCCACTTCCCAGTTAGCTCACACCTCTCAGTTAACTCATGCCTCCCAGTTAGCTCACGCCTCCCAGTTAGCTCACGCCTCCCAGTTAGCTCACGCCTCCCAGTTAGCTCACACCTCCCAGTTAGCTCACACCTCCCAGTTAGCTCAGTTGGTTAGAAAGCTGGATTGTGTTGTGCGGGAGGTCGAGGGTTTCAGCCCCGGCCGGACCAATACTTATGGTCTTAAAATAACTAAGGAGAATTTGCTACCTTTCTATAATATCAAAAAATTGATAGATATTCTAGTCTTTTTGGATAAGGACAAACTAAACCTTAGGCCCCGTCTCCTGCAGGGTTAGGGGTAGGAGGCGTTAATTTCCCCTGCACAAGATTACTGTATGGTGGATGTCCTCCCCTGGGGTGGGATGGGTGGGTTA